GACACCGTCGTCAGACACTTTGTACAGGGTTTAAACTGCCAGGACCCGGCCAGGATGCCAGTAAATAGTGCTTCAGTGAACACCCAGTACCTGCCTCTCCTCGAGACAGAATCTGCACAGCACTATGATACCCGTTCTCACCACTAAGTGCTTCGCTGACCTCAGGAGACAGGCATTCCCATTTTACAGCTGGGGCATGGGGTGGGTAAAGTAGTTAAATGCCTTCGCTAATGCAGTGCCTGGCCTCTAACTGGTGTTTATGACAGTGTGCCCGCCCCAGGCTGATGATTCCAGAACTGGAGGGGGATTTAGATGCTCTGTTAGTATCTGCCTTACTTTGTTTTGTTTTGTTTTTGTTTTTGTTTTTTTAAATATACATTTTTATTGATTTCAGAGAGGGAGGGAGAGGGAGAGAGAAATAGAAACAAACATCAATGAGAGAGAATCATTGATTGGCTGCCTCCTGTACGCCCCACACTGGGGATCGAGCCCACAACCCGGACATGTGCCCTGACTGGGACTCGAACCCTGACCTCCTGGTTCCTAGGTCGAAGCTCAACCACTGAGCCGCGCCGGCCGAGTACGAATGAAGTTGTAATAAATGGAGACCATGGCCGGGGACGGCATTCTGTTCTGTAATTACAGGGCCTTGCCTGTGAAGCGAACTTCTCAGGGCTCCTTCTGAAGCTGAGGCCTCCGTCTGATTAATTGCTGTAATACTCGGGCTACTTTCTGAGTCAATGGGCCAGCAAGATGGTTTTAGAGAGCGAAGCGTGTGCTGCCTGTGGATGTCACTCACATGTGCCCAACTGTCGAGCCATCGGGCCCGGGACTCTGCTTCTGGAGAGGTTTGCAGAACAGCTTCACAGCATTGAGGCCACTCTACCTTCTCTCTTTAAAAGCTCAACCAGTGAACCAGGTTTTTCTCTGAAACGCGGCACCAGTAAGTACGGTTTCCCGTAAGCCGGGCGAGCCACAGGAAACAGAGGTGCGAATGTGTACCTGGGTCTCAGGATGTTTCAGAGAATATATCTATTTTAAGATGTCTAGCTTAAGCAAGGGGACTTACATTCATGAGAAGAAAAAAAAATTAAGATTCACATTATCCTTCTTAAAAACTAGATTTATCCTTGAGGAGTTTTAGATTCACAGCAAAACTGAGCAGGAAGTACAGAGTTCCCATACAGCTCCCTGGCACCCCCGCCCCAAACCACCTCCCACACAGTGAACATCCCCCACCAAAGTGGTACATTTTTCCCACCTGATGAACCTACAGGGACTCATCATTATCACACAGAGTCCATAATTTACACTTGGGTTCACTCTGGGTTTTGTACATTCTAAGGGGTTTGACAAAGGTGTCATGTATCCACTGTTATAGTATCAAAGAGAGCAGTTTCATTGCCCTAAAATTCTGTGCCCTTCTTCATCACCCCTCTCTTTTTTCAGCTAAGCGCTGGCAACCACTGACTTCTTACTGTCCCCTTCGTTGTACCTTCTCTAACATGTCCTATTGTTGGAATGATGTGGGGGGTAGCCTTCTCAGGTTGGCTTCTTTCACGTAGTGAAATACATTTCAGGTCCCTTCATGCCTTTTATGGCTTGATCACTCATTTCTTTTTAGTCTACTGTCTGGATGTGCCCGTTTATGTATTCATTCACCTACTGAAGGCCATCTTGGTTGCTCCAAGTTTGGGCACTTATACATAAAACTTACCAACATCTGTATGCAGGTCGAGGTGGGCATGTATGTTTTCAACTCGTTTGGGGAAATATCAAGGAACACAATGTTTGACTCATATGGTGAGAGTATGTTTAGTTTTTTGTAGAAACTCTACCGAACCCTGCACCATTTTCCATTTTCACCAGCAATACTATAGATGAGCGTTCCTGTTGCTCCACATCCTCGCCAGCATTTGGTGAAGTCAGTGTCCTGGACTCTGGCCTTTCCAGGAAGTGTGCCTCATTGTGGACATCAAGCATTTTTAAAGCTTAACAAGTCATTCTAAGATGAGTAAGTCCTGAGGATCCGTGTACAGCATGGTGACTACCGTTAATAATACTGTATTGTATACTTGAAGTTTGTTAAGAGAATAGATCTTAAGTGTCCTCCATCATACAAAAAAGGTAACTGTGGGATGATGGATGTGTTAATTAGATTGTTTGTGGTCACCATTTCATAATGTATATGTACATCAATCAGCACCTTGTACACCTTAAATATACCCAATTTTTACTTCGATAAAATTGGAAAAAAATTAAAATAAAAGCCTAATAATTGAGATAAGAAACAATGAATGGGATTTGAGAGCTGGAAAAAATATTTTGGCTTTAGTCCACCTCTACCATCAAACACACACCTTTTATAAGAACCTATTGGTAACAGGTTCGGAAAGAACCAGGTCTCTGTGCTCACATACAACTGGTGCCGAATATTTGTGAAGCGAGTGACTATGTACTCCCTCTCTCTCTGGAGGCCTTCCTATGCTGTCTACGCTAACAATGAATTGATAGAGTACTCCAGAGGCCAAGGAACTGTGCCTCTAAAGAATCAACTTCCTTGTATAGAGGGCTTGAAACTTGATCTGCATTCCAGGAATTTATATCAAAATTAACAGATACACCCTAGCTGGCTTGGCTCAGCGGACAGAGCGTCGGCCTGCGGACTCAAGGGTCTCAGGTTCGATTCCAGTCAAGGGCATGTACCTGGGTTTTGGGCACATCCCCAGTAGGGGGCGTGCAAGAGGCAGCTAAATCGATGTTTCTCTCTCCTTGATGTTTCTAACTCGCCATCCCTCTCCCTCTCCCTTCCTCTCTGTAAAAAAATAAATAAATAAATAAAATAACAGATACGCCTGTTTTTCAGACAGGGTAATTCTAATGTGATCTTACTTATTGAAGGATATCTCCTTTCTGGGGAAATTGATCTTCCTTCCTTTTTATGGGGTGTTTCTGAACCTGCGGGTCTCCCAAGGCTTTCATGAGTTTACTGGAGCTGTTCAACATTCCTTGATGTTTCCAGCGTGAAGAGTTTGTGGCAGAGGGCAAAAGAGAGATGTAACCTTGAAGGACGTTTTTATTTTTCTCTCTTAGAGATGTGAGTCTGGGGGATTTTTCCTTGCACGTTACCTAAGGAGACCCGGACATAGCCGTTCCTGGCCAGTATCATTTCCATACATAGATTCAACCCAGAACCACATCCACCAAGAACAGAAGAGGGCACGGCTTTGCTGTTTCTTTCCTCTGTCCACCGCTTCCTAGATCCTGTTTGAATAGGGTTATGGAGATAGAGCTTCTAGAGCCTGACCAATATGGGAAATGCAGTCCTAGCAGTCCCCAACCCCGTTTCCCTGAGTGTCCTGCTCTCTGAGGCCACAAACCTTGGGTGGCACCTGCCTTTGTCACACTCAGGAACGCTTTTCCCCTTTCACATTTCTGACAGCTAATAAACAGGCCTCTGCCATAATTTTATCTCCTTTCCTCATCTTTGCACCCCTAGCCACTTCTCAGACTCTGACACCTGGGAGGCTCTTAAAAGACGGGAAGGCAGGCAGCATTGCTGCTAAGAGAATAAGCATTGGAATAGACGGATTCCCACATTCAAATCCTGGGTTGGTTACTTGTCCTTAGTCTGTTGCTTAATCTGAGCCTCTGTTTCCTCATTTAAGAACTGAGAATACAAAACATTACCCTGTGTGGTAGGTGAGAAGCATTCAATTAAAAACATGTAAAATATGCTTAAGTGCTACATGTAGCTGATGCTATTAAATGGTACCTATTACCTGAATACAAGTCTAATGAGGATAGAGTAGCCCAATATTTTTTCCAGGTTTCCATCATCCCATTACCTTTAGGAAAGAGAGAAAGGGGAGGCTCTTACCGGTTTTGACATAGAGACATGCATCCAAATCAGCGGTACAGTTGGTGGTGTAAGTGCACGCACCAACAGCGTTGGGACAGTTGTAGCACCGCAGGCTATGACCTAGAATCAGGAAGAAGAGCCGTCAGAATCTGGCAGACCAGCACTCACTTGCCCTCCTGGCTGCAGAAGGAAGCCCACCATCTCCATGACCACAGGGCAGAGGCCAGCATGCTTCCTTTCCCACACACACTTGCAGCAGGTAGATTTCTCCAGGCTCAGACTGTTAAGAGTAGGCAGAGAGAAAGATATAAGCTGGAAGAGGCTGGGAGAGGCAGCTGACCTCTGGGCGGACCTCTAAGCTGGGACATAGAGGACATAAGACTGAGATGTAACAAACTGAAAATAGACAATGGAGGAAGCAAGCGCCTATGTGAGATACGACGGAGGATGTGACTAGCTCCTTGCCTAGGGGCATGCCAATCTAGGCGTATAAATCCTCTAAGCTCCCCAATATCAGGGGCATTCAGTTTGGTCTCAGCCAGCTCAGGTCCCCTCTGGGTGACTACAGAACATCTCATTACAGATCAGCACTAACAGATGAATACTTGTGACCGATTGGACGATAGAGAACACAAATTTCTGAAACCCAAGTAAGCAAAATGTTCTTCTCCCAAAAGAATTCCATTCTTCCCATTAGTAGGTCTGTATTACAAATAACTGTACTCAATTGTAACATTTCAAATTTTGTCAATTGAAAATCTGTATTTGTCTTCTCTCATCTACACTAATAAAAGAGAAAAATGGTAATTGGTATTTT